TGAGGCAGGGGACTGTCACAGAAGATGTATGGCTCCTCTGGGCTTCAGTAATTCTTTTCTATTAAATAATACATAGTCTTTGGCCAGCTTATCTTCCACTTGATGAGTCAGCAGGTCTGGAACACTGTGTTAAGGGCTCAGGGAGAGATGTCACGTCCTGGAGACACCTGCTCAAGTCTCCGGTGACCCAGCAGCGCCACCGTGGGGAAGGGCCTGCGTGGTCCTCGGGCCAGGACTCCGCCTCACGTCTCACCGCCTGCCTTGCAGCCGTGCCTGCTGCAAAGCCCGGGGGTCTGCTCGCAAGCCCAGTGTTTTCAAACCCTCAGCCCCCTGCGCGAGTGGCCCCTTCCCCGGCTCCTCTCCGGTCCGCCCCTGCGCTGCACCTGCCAGACAGACGTCCCCGAGGGGGACAGATGGACCGAGTGGTCACACTCTGCTTGCTTCTCTTCCTGTGCCTGGGTGACACGGTGGTGCAATCATTTCTGCACACGTATTTCTCTCCCACTAGACTATGAGAGCCATAAAGCCAGGGACGGTGTCTTCTCTCTACTCCCAGCAAATGCGCTGGTCCGGTCTCTGCCACCAAAGGGTACCCAGAGTCTGTCCGGTGTCCCTCCGTCTGTCTCCTTGCGCACAGACTGAAACCCGCGCCGTCGCCGCAGCCTGCGAGGATCCAAACTAACGAGTTGCTCATTCTTGTAATTCGGGTCCCAGCTCAGAGAAGGCCCTTCACCAAGTGGGTGCCACGGGCCGGCAGGACTTTTCCTGACCTCCCAATCCGAGAGTCAACCGCTGTCCCTGCCTCCTTCTTCCGTGCTCACCTCTCTCCATCCCCTCCACCCATCTCCTCCTTTTATTTTCTTCACACTATCAGCCCATTTGTTTGATTACTGTCTGTGTTCAGTTAAATAAGCAGGAGGCCACTGGCCTGGGGCTATCTCCTGTTTCGGGGTTCCTACCTAACAAATCGCAACCTCATTTAGAAGGCAAGCAAACTGAAACTTGATTTAGGAGCCGGGTCCTTTGTTGGTGTATGTGGGGTTTGGTTCCAGGGTCCCCAAGTATATTAAGGCCCGGGCCTGTTCGAGCCCTGAGGAACACAGTTGGGCATCCTCCAATACTGCATTTTCCATGCGTGTTTGACCCAAGCGTAAGTGGCGCCTCACAGTTCACACCCACGTTGTTCAAAGTATATTTGTAACAAACAGCCGAGTTCCAGCCAGGCACAGGCAGCCAACCATCGCACCAGGCCCAAGTAAAACAAGCATCTAGCTGTCGCCAGTCAAGTGGCTTTCTCTACTTTGCTTCCTGTTCAGCCTACGAAATCTGGCTGCTCAAGGGTAGGGCTCTCTGAACCTCTACTGGTCCTGACTGTTGCCCAACTCTTTGCTCAGATAAACTCTGTTAAATTTAATTTGGCTACAGTTTTTCTTTTAACATCTGTTACTGCTCATAGAAGCAGGGACCGTCTTTGTCCTGCTCTCTATCTACAACTGTATCTCAAACCTAGAACTGTGCTGAGCATGGAGTACATGCTCAATAAATATTTGTTGAAAGAAATGCAGGTGCTTTACAAATTTTCATTGAATCAATAAGTAAAAGTCATTTCAGCTAAAAAAAAAAAGTCTATGGGTTTGCCTTTGAAAATGATCTATTTCTAAAATTATGGTTTTTTTTTTTTTTTTTTTTTGAGACAGAGTCTCACTTTGTTGCCCAGGCTCGAGTGAGTGCCGTGGCGTCGCCACCATGCCAGGCTAATTTTTTCTCTATATATTAGTTGGCCAATTAATTTCTTTCTATTTTATAGTAGAGACAGGGGTCTTACTCTTGCTCAGGCTGGTTTTGAACTCCTGACCTAGAGCAATCCGTCCACCTTGGCCTCCCAGAGTGCTAGGATTACAGGTGTGAGCCACCACACCTGGCCTACTAAATGCAAATTTCTAAGTGAAATTCATTTGTCTACTTTGTTAACATTTTACCTTTCCAAACATTAGGAGGGCAAAGAGTAGTTTTTCTGGCGAATATCTGAAGAATAGTAAGCTGGTTTGTTACTATGTAATGCTTGGTAGAATTTGGTAAGGAAAAGAGAGGACATGTGACAAGTTTAAGGGAACTAGAAGTCTACTTCTACTGGGTTTCTCATTTTTCTTCTTGGCGTTGTATCTTTGCCCAGGTGGATTCCTTTCTCCTTTCCTTCCCTTCCCCTTCCCCTTTCCCTTTCCCTTCCCTTCTTTCCTTTCCTTCTTTTCTTTCCTTTCCTTTCCTTCTTTTCTTTCCTTTCCTTTCCTTCTTTTCTTTCCTTTCCTTTCCTTCTTTTCTTTCCTTTCCTTTCCTCCTTTCCTTTCCTTTCCTTTCCTTTCCTTTCCTTTCCTTTCCTTTCCTTTCCTTTCCTTTCCTTTCCTTTCCTTTCCTTTCCTTCTCTTCCCTTCTCTTCTTTTCTTTGACAGAGTCTCACTCTGTCACCCAGGCTAGAGTGCTGTGGTGTCAGCCTAGCTCACAGCAACCTCAAACTCCTGGGCTCAATCGATCTATTGCTTCGGCCTCCCAAGTAGCTGGGACTACAGGCATGCGCCACCATGCCTGGCTAATTGTTTCAATATATATTTTTAGTTGTCCAGCTAATTTCTATTTCTATAGTAGAGATGGGGTCTCACTCTTGCTCAGTCTAGTCTCGAACTCCTGACCTTGAGCAATCTTCCCACCATGGCCTCCCAGAGTGCTAGGATTACAGGTGTGAGCCACTGCATCCGGCCTGCCCAAGTGGATTCTCACAAAACATGATAGCCTCTCCTTTGTTATCATGTCATTGGAGAACACTGTTATTCTTTGACGTTGGCTTTACACTTGCTCCCAAAATATAAATCTATTGGGGCATGCAGCGATCATATCCAAAGGCTGTTCTTTGGCCACAATTTCACTGGGTCTCTCTCTCCCCACATCCCTAGGTAGATTTGCTGTTGGATTTTAATGCCGGTTCTCAAATCCTTACTAACAAGGATTCAATGAATTTTGCACTGAAATAACGTTAAACATTGATAGCAAAGTCCTAAATAGTTTCGGTATTGGACACACACTTCACTTGCAACATGAAATGCTCGTACAACCATAAAACAAACCTCACCTCTGCCGGGAACAGAGATCATGGTGCTGGTGAGGGCCAGACTGGTGTCGTCACCCAGTGTGAGGTTCACGCAGTATGTCCCGGACCTGCCGAAGGCTCTTCTCACGGTCAGCAGGCACGTGTTGCCCACTTGCACGGGGTCGCAGATTGCACTCTCAGCGACCTGGCAGGTGGGGTCAGAGACGATGGTACAGACCTCGGTGGGAATGCTGCCGTGCGGGAGGGGCGGGCACGCAGAGCACAGACAGGGGAGAAGGGAAGGTAAAAACAGTTTTAAAAAGGGAATATCATTACATTTCTGTGGAATTGAATTCTATCTCATTCTTACTCAAACCATGTGAGGAATTGACTCGTCTGATTTACTCTCAAGCCTGGGTGATGAGCCACTGCTTCCTCTGTAAACAGAGGAGGAAGCAATGGTCTCCCCCAAGGCCAGGGACTGGTGGAAACTGTGTAAAGCCCACGTCGTTCCCTCTACATTCCCTCTGCATCCTGAGGATGTCCAAAGGTGCAGAGGGCTTAGGTGTTAGGCAAAGATATTATTAAATGCCAGAGTTGGCCCTGGCTGGATTCCCGTAGGGGCATGACGACGACAGCTGTTTACGCAAACGTACTCCGTGCAAGGCACCAAGGTTTAGCTCTACAACATGACATAATCTTGTTTATTCCTCTCAATGGCTTTTTGAGGAATGTAAAGTTATCCCAGTTTAACGGATGACAAACCAGGTTGGGACTGGGGAAATAACTAGCCCAAGTCACACTAGTAGTTAGAGGTGGAGCTGGGACTTGAACAAAAGGTGTTTGACTTAGTTGTCCTTGGAACCGCCAGGCTTTCTGGCACGACTGTCTTCACCGCTGTGTCACTCCTGGGCAGCCCTCCTGGGCGGAGAGACCGAGCTCTGATGCTGGGCCTCGTGGGGTGGGGTGGGGTGGGGGAAGGTCCCTCTTCTCCCTGGCTGGGCCTCTTGCTCCAGCTTCTCTCCCTCGGTCAGGTGTTGCCCTGTCACCCTCAACCTCACCTTGGTCTCCCCCAGCGGGAGAGCTTCTTAGCTCTTCCTTTCACCAGATAAGGCCACATTTTTATACCACCCCATCCTCTTTTTTTTTTTTTTTTGAGACAGAGTCTCACTCTTTTGCCTAGGCCAGAGTGCCGTGGCGTCAGCCTAGCTCACAGCAACCTCAAAGTCCTGGGCTCAAGTAATCCTTCTGCCTCAGCTTCCCAAGTAGCTGGGACTATAGGCACGCGCCACCATGCCCGACTAATTTTATATGTGTGTGTGTGTGTGTATATAGATATATATGTATGTATGTATAATTTTAGTTGTCCAGATAATTTCTTTCTATTTTTAGTAGAGATGGGGTCTCACTCTTGCTCAGGCTGGTCTCAAACTCCTAACCTTGAGCCATCCTCCCATCTTGGCCTCCCAGAGTGCTAGGATTACAGGCATGCGCCACCACACCTGGCCCACTCCATCATCTTGATTCATTTATACCTTTATACACACAAGTGTCATAATTAGGTAATTTACATATCACATGTAAATTCATTTGTTAATGTATATCAAATTAATCAACATAGTATTTATATATTAATTTATATTTAATTTATATATAGTCACAGCCAAATCATAGGAAATCAAATTATATAATACATTAGAAAGAGCTATGTGAATTCTAAAGAGAGAGGATTACCAGGCATTGCTAGCAACGCCAGCACATGACAATTCCTCACTGGCTTCCCACCCACCCTGGAGGGGTCTCAGGGAGCTTAAGGGCTGCTGGATACCAGCAGCCTCTCTGTGCGCAAATTTTGTGATTACTGAGTGCCTCAGTTGTCCCATCTGTGAAATGGGGAGACCTGTGGGATTGTTGTGAGGATTCATATGAGAACAGATGTAAGGCGCTGAGAACACAGTGTTCAAACAGCTTTAGTTATTCAACTTAATCGACTATGAAAGGTAATGAGCATTTCTCAGCTGTAGCAGGACGTGTGTGTGCTCGATGGCGCCTCCTAGCGCCCTTTGTAAGTCCTTCCTGATCCAGAGTTATGGGTAAATAGGAATTTAAATCAACTTTGTCCAGAACTGGGGTCCTTACTTGACCCTCCCTTTGATGGAGACAATATACTCACGTCCCCAGGCAGGTCACAACGAAGTCGATGAGGGCATGGTCAGGCTGTGGCATGGGCATCAGGACATTTGTCATCTGGATGATGTTAACCTCTAGGATTCCCTCTAACAACAACAACAACAACAAAAATGTGATATGTTGGAAAAAACACACCAAAACACATCGGAAACTAACCGAGCCAAACCACCACTCTGCTACAGACTGAATGTTTGTGTCCCCTCACAATCCCTATGTTGAAACCCTAATGTCCAAGGTTTGTTTGTACAGGGTATCAGGAGGTGGGGCCTTCGGGGTGAGGCCCGCGTGAATGGGACCAGTGCCCTTACGAGGGAGACCCCAGAGCGCTCCCTTGCCTCTTCCACCACGGAGGACACAGCAGGAAGGTGCCGCGTAGGAACCAGGAAATGAGCCCTCAGCAGACGCCAAATCTGCTGGTGCTCTGATCTTGGACTTCCCGGCCTCCAGAACTGTGAGAAGTAAGTTTCTGTTGTTTGTTTATAAGCCACCCAAGTCTATGGCATTCAGTTGTAGAATCCTGAAGGGACTAAGACATGGCCCTTAATAAATGGGAGGGAGGGAAAAAAAAAAAAGGGAGACAGCCTTCTAACCAGACAGAAACACATCGGACCCAAGAATCTACCCCATGGCTTTGGATACGTTTCATGCAGCACTTTCAAAGTCAAACCAAACTATTCTTCAGTCCAATCTAGATTTTTATTTCTAGAGCCTTTGTATGTGTTAGAAAGCAGCATCCTGTCTGGGTAGGTGTTTCAGGAAAAGGTCACCCCTGGGTGGATGCAGCCCCTGGCTCAGGGCACGGGCAGGTTCTCAGGTGGCTCAGCCTTGGGGTCCACAGTTCGGGCTTCCTCACCCATCCTCAGAACCGGGGAACACCGTTTGGGCTTTGGTCCCGACCTGTCTTCTCTGCTGGATGCCTTAAGGCTGTTCCCCAAATGCACAGCCATGTGTGGTGGCCTGCTCATTCCCTTTTACCCACAAGAAGTATAACTTTGTGAAAGTTAGCTAGGGGCAGAGTGGAAGTTGTGGGGGATCGTGACCCTGGCCTGCTCTCACCCCATATCCAGCCAGGTCGCTTTGGTGCACAGGTGGGATCCAGGCTCATTAGGATGTGGGTGTCACACAGGGCTCATTCCCACCAGGGCGTCTAAGGAAGGCTGGGCTGGGCAGGTGGGGATCTAGAAACCAGTAGAGTCTTTGCTTGTGCATGTGTGACATCACCTTGGACAAGGAGTGGGGTGCCCCCTGCCACCCACCCTGCACCCCCAGAGTTAGCCAAGCGAGTGGGTGACCCTCGGTGGATGCTGCCATCTTTCCCTGCTGGCATTCAGCCTTACCCACAATCGTGATGGTGGCTTTAAAGTGGCCGTATCTGTAGATCTGGCAGTTTTCATCAAGACTCTCACTCTGCTCCAGGGAGTCGTCGCCAGCCCGTCCTGGGGCATTTGAATATGATTTTAGGGTAGTTGCTACAAGTGTAAAAGATGTACATGATATAATCGACAATCTAAACATTTGTCATCTGCTTTTTAGAAAAACGTCAAGAATTCTATACCAAACTTGCTGTGGGGATTTGAATTAAATGTGTAACAATTCACACAGATGTGAGAGCTGCAAGGCGTTATAATTGCTAAATCATGTAAGTAAATACAATCCTATATTTCACTTGATCATGGGAAGCAAATGAAAGGTGGAGGCTGCATTAAAATGTGTGCTGCCACAGTCATGATGAAACAAATGAAGTTACAGTTTTATTTTGGAGGTAGGTATTCTGGGCTCAAATTCCAGCTCTCCTTATTTTTAGCTGTTTGAGACCATAGATAGTCACATCACTCAACCTGTCTTTGCCTCTATTTGCTCATCTGTAAAATAGGAAAAATGCCTACTGCCCTCCTAGGGCTGAAGCATGCAGCTTAAATGAGATAAAGTATATAAAACCTGCTTCTCGTGGCTGCCACAAAGGAAATACTTAATAAAAATCACTTTCCTTGTTCCAGTAATATGGAATTCTCTCTGTATTTGGGTGTCACACAGCTCCAGAGCTTAAACTCTAAAAGTGCTGCTGTGATCATCAGAGATGTGAGGAAAGAAAGGAGTTTAAGGCATTTTTGAAAAATGAGCCTTGAATATAATTACAGCAAAGAATCTAATGCCTCATTAGTTACAACTTAAAAGGCTCTAATTGTGGCATTGGTGCTCCTTTAACACATATGCTGAAGAAAATATGTTACTAAAAATACAACCTTATCTTCTCTTTAATTTCAAAAGGCATGTGAAATAGATCTAGTCTTGGGAAAAGGGCATCAAAGCCTTTCGAGAGCTGCATCTCTGACCAGCCTGGGCAACACAGTGAGACCCCATCTCTACCAAAAATTTAAAAATTAGCCTAGTGTGACGGCGCGTGCCTGTAGTCCCAGCTATTCGGGAGGCTGAGGCAGGAGGATCGCTTGAGCCCAGGAGTTCGAGGCTACAATTGAGCTGTGATTATGCCACTGCACTCCAACCTGGGTCACAGGGCGAGACCTTGTCTTTAACAAAAAAAACCCAACAAAACAAAACCCAAAACAGTTGTTATCTCTAACTTAGTGGCGTGTAGGGGTGAAGCAGCTGGGAGGCGTTTTCTCCAGGGCTTCTCAGAACCTTTGCAGGTGAATGTGCCTCGTGGCTCTCCTGTGCCCAGCGGCGGCTTCCCGGAGCAGTTCTCAGAACTGTCACAGACACGAGTGCTCCACGGCCCACACTGGGGGCAACGCTGCTTGGGTAAAGCCCAGAAAGGTCCTGACACTGTGTTGGATTCAAACGCAGTGGCTTATTAGCAGGAAGGGCCGTGGCAGGCTCACTGTCCCTTGAGTTGTACAGCTGTCCTTTAGAAATGACTCCAGGACAGTCATTTAGTCTGTCCTGAGACTCAGCTGATGTTCTCTATAGAGACAGGTTTGTTTGTACAGGGCATTTAAGATCGCTAGATCTTCTCCAGAAAATTCTCTACAAAATTCTTTCTTTTGAAGTTCTTGACAGACAGGCGGAATTTAATTGTCAAGTTAGAGCATGGACTCATGACTCTGTTATAGTTTAAAATAAAATTCCTTTTTTTAAAAAAAATGGCCAAATCCCTTAAAATCTGTACCCCCATAATATGCCGAAATAAAAAAAAAAATGGCCAAATAATAAAAGCCAATGACTGTACCTAGGTAGAATGCTTAAAAATGCATATGGAGTTTTACAGACATTGTATCTTTAAAGTCAAGGTATGTAGGTCTATCCTTGAGTTTAAAAAAAAAAAATAAAGTCAAGTCATGATTAGAGGGCTGATGGAGAGAAATGAACACCTTAAAAGACAGATAGGAAAGAAGGTGAATCCTCAATTCAGTATTTATGTCCCTGTTACCAAGAGAATGGTATGAGAGCTCTTGAGTCTTTGGGAAAGTAAGAAAATTCTGTATGATATGAAATGATATGATATATCCTGATATATATACATAGATTATGTATATGGCATTACACTGATTATCATCAGTCTTACGAAGGGTTTTTTTTCAGATTTGTTCACAAAGTCTAAAAAACAGTAGCAATGTTAGCTAAGAGAAGAAAATTCTGACTTGAAGACAGTGGACTCCCATGTGCCCTCTGATTCCATCATCTAACCTGAGTCACCTGTTCACCTCTGCGTCTGTCTTGCTCTTGGGGTTGCATTTGGTTTGTGATTCTGGCTGTACTTTATTATGAAGCCATTTACCAAAGCAGAGAGAATATGATTTTTGGCCAAACAACAATATACCGCTTAATAACCCAAGCCTGTTAATATGGTCTAGGCAGCTGGAAACGCCCTCTAGAAGAGACCCCCTTTAGAAGAAGGCATGAGCTGACTCCTAGCATCACCCTGGGGCCCATTGCTTATCCCTCACTCCCATTCCCCACAGCTTCTTCAAGGCATTTTAGGGTTGATTATGGTTGATCTAACACCTTTACATAAAGCCAGGCAGCTTTCCTTTGCAATAAAACTTAATTAACTCATAGGGGTTACTAGCTTACATCTTATGGTCTGACCTAGGGAAAATAATAAAAGAAATTTATAATACCTTTTCATTGACTTCAAATATACTCTTAACACATGCTGGGATAAAAATAGTTTCTAAGAAAAAAAGCTAGCTTAATAAGAATGCAATTCGAAATAGACTAACACTAAATAACCTAACATTAAGTCTTTTACCATTCTGGAACTTCTAAACATTAAAGGCATCTGTAATTTATTTTGAATTTTATACCTGGTCTCCTTATTTGTAAGGAAGATCATTAATACTTGCAGATAAAGAAATAGGTTCTCCTACAGGATTACTAGAACAAAGCTGTATGTTAAAAGTTGCTCAAATACAGTTACATTTGTATTCAGAATTAGGATTAATCTAATTATCCACCAATAAGTGAATGGTGAAATAAATCATAGTCTATAATACATACTATGGAACACCATATAGCCATTGAATCAAGTGGGATACATTTCCATATATTAACAATAAGATGTTTGTTAAGTGAAAAAAGAAGCAAATTGTAGAACAATATGTATAGCAAGAACCCATTAATATAATCAAAACAATGAGACTTATGTGTAAACATAGGGTATGTTTGTAAATGCACAGAAAGATCTGGAAAGAAACATTCCAAGCTAGTAACAGGGTTTAACTCCTGGGAGGAGAATGTGAATAGGGACTTTCACTTTTTTACTGTAGACTTCTGTATTGTTTGACTTTTTACTAAGGAACACGAATTAATTTTGTAATTTAAAACATTTCAAAAAAAAGAATCAAAATTCATAATATTAACTTATATTGTCTTGATTTAGACATGCTTAATTTAACAAGGTCTCATTTTATTACTAACACTTTACTATACCAGTTTATTATCTATAAACTACTAGGCTTTGGTAAAAACAACTGCAAGTCCAGACATCATGATGGAGTGTTTCCTCTGGGCTTGGCTGTGGCGCCCTCTTGTGGCCAGTGAGAGGATGTCAGCCTATTGCCATCCCCGGGATCCCGGGGTGCTAAGGTGTGTGGATGGCCTGGTGGGGAAGGGTGATGATGCCACCAGGTAGGGTGGGGAGTCAGATGGAAGACAACAGTCTTCAAAGTGGACTCTTAAGGGCTTCTTGAATGTCCTCACAGACTATTAATAGAGGGTGGTATTTAATTAATCATGCCTTATATAAGAGCAACTTCAATGTCAGGAGTCATTTCAGCTTGCCAGCCCTGAAACACTGTCAAGCTGCATTCTTTCTTAAGCCATTTGGAAATTGCTTTCAAGTATGCCAGTGTTGGTAGGGCACAATGGCTCACGGCTGTAATCCTAGCACTCTGGGAGGCCGAGGCAGGAGGATCGTTTGAGCTCAGCTGTTCAAGACCAGCCTGAGCAAGAACGAGACCCGGTCTCTACTAAAAATAGAAAGAAAATTACATGGACAGCTAAAAATATATAGAAAAATTAGCCAGGCATGGTGGCGCATGCCTGTAGTCCCAGCTACTCGGGAGGCTGAGGCAGAAGGATCGCTTGAACCCAGGAGTTTGAGGTTGCTGTGAGCTAGGCTGATGCCACGGCACTCACTCTAGCCTGGGCAACATAGTGAGACTGTCTCAGAAAAAAAAAAAAGTATGCCAGTGTTTTCATGGGACACTGGGTGAGTGAGGGCAGGCAAATGAGGAGAACGGTGGGGCAATAAGAGGGCTTGATTGTTTATAGAGGGCCAGTGCTTTTCTCGTGGCCACAAAAAAATGGGAGATAAACGGAAACGTGACAGGCTAAAAGGGGAAAGCACCCGCACACATAGCAAGGGCCAGTGCAAATCAGGGGGTAAAAGAGCTTTATGCAAGTCAGCAAATTCTATTTGCAGAGTGACTTAAACACATTGTCCTTTCTTCCTTATTCTAAAGGCTTAAAATGCTGATAAATTGGCTTCAAAAAATCAACAGGTACAAAATGGAATCGTTGCAAAGTCTCTACAATATCCTTTTAAGCAGGGATTTAATTATATTTTGTCGACCGTTAAGGAACCCCCTCAAAGATCACTGGGAGCTCCTTACCTGAAGAGGTGGGCTGTGGAGGTCTGGGTGACGGTGGCGGACAAGGTCCAGGCACTGCAGCTTGCACAGTGAGGTTAAGGCTAAAGGTTCCGTTGAGCACATACGTGTGATTCAAAGAATGATTGTTGGAAACAAACAGGCCAGTGTTATCCCCGAAGTTCCACTTGTAGTCAATGGCAGACTCATTGAGGAAGTGGCTAGGATCGTGAATCAGGACATCAAACGTAATGGGGAGATCCTTGAGGAAGGTTTCATCAGATGCATTTCGATTGTTCTTCTGGGACATAGTCACAAATACAGGAATCTGATCTAAAAAACACGTCCCCCCAAAAAGAAAGAATGCATGATTGCTTGATTTAAAAAAAAATTTTTTTTTTCTTCTTTTTTTTATTTTTTAATTTTACCATCTCATTGTGATTGGAGATTGCTTGATTTTAAAATGGAGGACTTCAATCATACTTTTAGGTTAAAAAATTAAAATTAGGCATAGCTTAGCATCATTTTTTTCCTTTTCACGTGCAAGTTTTCTAGAGGTTTCCCGAGCTATTCTGGAAAACGTAGATGGAATACAACATCATTAAACACACAAGCTTGGGCAAGGGGCCCAGATGAATTGTAACTTAACCAAGAACACTTAGCTCTAACTCTCAACCCACTGTCAACAGAACTAAGTGCCTCATCCTTAGTTAACTTAGGGTTCACAGCACTCACCCGTTACCACGTACACGTCCTTGACTTGTGCGATGGGAACGTATGTCCGCCTGTGCCTTCTATAGACCGTCGCTTGCATGAGTTGAGGGCCAAGTGTCACGTTGGCTGTGTTCAGAGAAACTCTTGCTGAACACCGTCCCAGTTTCTGGTCATACTGACCTTTGGGAGGATGGGAATCTTTAGTTATTGGCTACATTACAGGATCATTCTAGCAAGCTGTTTCTTAAAGACTAGTCACCACCACTTAGAGATCACCCTAAGGAGAGGAAAATAGGACAGAAATATAGTGCTGCTTCAGAAAGGGAGACGGTGATCATTTTTATGTAAAATCGTCCACAGTTATATATATGTAATTATATATAGTTGGTTAAAAATGAAAAGAGCTGTTGACAATAAAATTATGTGGGATTATAGCTGTGGGATAATAAAATTAGCCCTTAGTTTACAAATAAATATTTTTAACAAGTGACTTGGCACATAAAAGATACGTTTTTCCCCAAAGAAAATGTATTTAAGATAGTGGTGAGGTGTCCAAAAGAGTTAAAAAAATTTATTTATCCAAAATGATCTACCTTATTTTTGTTACTATTACTATTTCAGCTATGTTATTAAGCAGCTTTTAAAAAAGGAACTGGAATCCTCCACTGTCTAATATAATAGTATCTGTGTATAAAAATACAGGAAGTGATGAAAGAGAAATAGGGTGAGGTAGATAGAAAGAGGAAGAATGGAGCGGTTCTACAGACACGTTTCTAGGACATTCTTGAGTCATGTCTTTTCTCCAGCCCTCCCTCAATCTAGCTGCCGGGGGCAGGCGGGAGTACTTCCTCTCTCTCAGGGTTCAAGGTCTTCTCTACTCCTGTCAAGCTGCCTGGCTTAGACCTGTCATGGATGGGGTATCATAGGGTGGATGCCTGAGAGACAGGGATGTTTAAAGACCATGTTTACCACACAGCCAAACGCGTGAGGAAAACACGCTGGGCTCCTTCGGGATGTGTGGTTTGGGATTTCCTTCACCTTGAGCTGCAGGGGCAGTTCCGCTGGAGGTTGTAAGGGGAGGAAGCATCTCTCAGGGGTTAGCGACACCTGAGGAAAACGTGAGTTGCGGCAAGGAGGGACAAAACCACACTTAGTTGAGGGAGAAGATCAATGAACTCTGAGGCCTCAGCGGGAGACGGAAATTCAAGACAGTCTTGTTAGAAACACAGAGCAATTTCCAGGCTGAAGGCTGATTTTAAATAAAGACATGTAAGCTGGTTAAGTTAATAGAATGTTAACTAGGCTACAAAGAGCAGGGAGTGTTAGTGAACATAAATGACCCTGTGCAAAGCGGCTGAATTCTGTGGGTGACAGGTCAAGGAAATCCTATGTTTGGTGAGTTGACTGACAGGATCATGATGGTATCGAAAAAAAAAAAGTCAGCTTTAAAGCAACTGATTTAAATAGACAGGTATAATATTTGAGATATTTTGTACTATGTTCAGGCAGTAGAAAGACGAAACATTTAGGAATCTGGAGGATGCTCAATTAGTGGCAGTTTTCAAATAGTCAGTGCCAGATGGCACCTGTGATATTTTAAACTAAGAATTTAGCAGCTGTGCTAATAATTACCTAAATTTGTTTCTCCCAAAAATAACTGCTTCACCAACAATAAAGCAAAGCGAATACCATTTGTGGTTAAAAGAGAGAGAGAGTAGACTATGTTAAAGTAGAACAGTAATTAGCTTATTTTGTTTCTACAAAATGGAATATTAGGCAGCTGATAAAATAAAGTATATAAAGGACTGTTAATGATATTGTCAAATGCTCATATTAAGCAAAAATGTGCATATGTTATAATCTTAATCAAATACTAGTAAAAAAGCACGGTATTAATGATCATCTCTGGTATTAATTATGGATAATTTTTATTTGTACTTTTTCTGAAAATTTCCTACAAATAGCATGTTTTTTAAATTCTAAAAATTCTTAAGAACATAACAAGATTAAAGAATAAATCAACAAATGCCCATCCATGTGCCATCCAAATAAATGTTAGCATTTTTTCTTGTTATTGTTTTAATAGAATAAAATGAGTTTTTTTGTTTTTTTTTTTTGAGACAGAGTCTCATTCTGTTGACTGGGCTAGAGTGCCGTGGCATCAGCCTAGCTCACATCAACCTCAAACACCTGGGCTCAAGCAATCCTCCTGCCTCAGCCTCCCAAGTAGCTGGGACTACAGGTGTGCACCACCACGCCTGGCTAATTTTTTCTATTTTTAGTAGAAACAGGGTCTCACTCTAGCTCAGGCTGGTCTCAAACTTCTAAGCTCAAATAATCCTCCCGCCTCGGCCTCCCAGAGTGCTAGGATTATAGACATGAGCCACTGTGCCCGGCCAGGTAGTTTTGTGTTTTAAAAAAAGAACTGAATCTCTCCCCGCCCCTCCCATTTTAGTTCTTTGGTGTTCTGGTGTCCTTTGGCAAGGTTAACAAAGATTTTGTTTTTCACCTCTCATCACCCACCCATACTAAGAAAAGTTAACACAGTGACTTATTAAACTCTCTTTGTTATCATTCTCAGTTATAGAATAAGAAGAGAAGGTTAAAATTTTAAGGAAAGGTAAAGAGGAGGCTAAGGAGGTGTGTAAAATCCAACCAAGTGTGTGGAAGACGTAGACAAAATTCCATTTCTTCCATCCATGGTGGTGAGGAAAAGGCTTCCCGTCAGGGAACACGTGATGGTGGCTTTGGCCGCTGCCATTGCCCCAGTCACTGTCTTCTGACCAAGCTGTCCAGTTGTAAACATATGGGTCGGTAGATAAACCGGTCTCTAAACAGAGAAAGAAAGTTCCATGCAGAGATATCATTTAATATATTTTTTTCTATTCAGTCTCCAAATCACAACCCTATTCAAACCAAACTGCAAAATGCTTTCCTTATCTTTTTATTTTGACACATTCTATCTGTATCTTTTTTTCTGATTCATTTGACATTATGACTCTCTATTCACAAATACTTCAGCACACATTTCTTAAGAATAAGAACAATTCCTACATAATCACAACACCATTACAACCCCTGTCACAGTCTAATCAAGTTTGCACACTATATTTGGCTATTTTGTCTCTTCAAATGATTCACAAAAAAAGAATCTCTCTCCAGACAGATGTAGATACAGATATCATCTATCTTTAGCTATAGGTATGAATATATAGAAAGAAGCAAATATGACAAAATGTTAAAATTGTTGCATTTAGGTGACTATAGTTAGCAATAATTTATTCTATATTTCAAAATAGCTAGAAGAAAGATTTGGAATGTTTTCAACCTGAGAAATGATAAATGTTTGAGGTGATGGATATACCAATTACCCTGATTTGATCAGTACACATTGTATGCACGTATCAAAACATCACATGTACCCCAGAAATAAGTACAATTGTGTATCAATAAAGACTTAACAAAAAAAATGGGCAAAAGATCTGAATAGACATTTCTCAAAAGAAGTCATACAAATGGCCAACGGGTATATGAACAAATGCTCAACATCACCAATCACCAAGGAAACACAAATTGAAACCACAATAAGAGATCATCTCACCCCAGTTAAAAAGGCTTTTATCAAAAAGACAAAAAATAATAGATGCTGGCGAGGATGTGGAGAAAGGGGAATGCTCCGTACACTGTTGGTGGGAATGTAAATTCGTACAGCCTCTATCGAGAACAGTATGGAAGTGCCTCAGGAAACTAAAAATAGAACCACCATATGATCCAGCAATCCCACTGCTGTATGGGTATGCTTCCAAAAGAAAGGAAGTCAGTATATCAAAGAGATAACTGCACTCCCATGTTTATTGCACCACTATCCACAACAGCCAAGATATGGAGTTAGCTTGAGTGTCCATCAATGGATGAAAGGATAAAGGAAATGGGGTGTATGTGTGGGAATCCCGGGTTTCGTCACCAAAGATGTCAGGGTGGGAGTCTTCCCTCGGTTCCTGGTGTGCTCTTGGCCGAAGAATGACCAGATGCACCAAAGTGTCAAGTCCATACTATTATCCTGGTCCTCTGACTCCTTTCTTGGAAAAATCACCAGCAAGGCCAGTATGACGGGGTAACCTCAGGCAGGAAGCAGTTTCACAAGAGCAGCTCTTTATTGTAGAATAAAACAGGTCTGTCTTGGAGAGTGGAGAGAGACAGACCAACTCACTCATTGACTGACCCACTCATTTCTCTGACTTCTTGGATTGTTTACTTTTATTAGCCCAGTCAGGAGGAGGGCTCTTGGGAGGTGTAGGATGTTATCGAATGAGCAACAGGTGTCCTCAAAATTCCATCTGCGTACAGAAGCTCCTCCAAGAAAGCCCACCTGGAGGGTTGGGGTGAACTGCAATGCAGGTTCAAGCTAATGGCATATTAATTACTCTTATAAGTACATTATTAAATAGCCTGCTCATCAATTGAAGAATTTCAGTAATGAGCTCACTCACTTCTAACAAGATAATTTCCCTTGATGTAATTTGTGCTCATTTGCGCTCTTCAACACGGACAGAGGCCTTGTCTCTTTAAGGGCAAAGCAAAATCAAAGTATACACATTTTAGCATTTGTGCTTAGCCACACAACATGTGCTTAAGAAATAACTTGTCAGCCAAAATTAAACTGATCAGCAAACATCTGTCAAATTGGCTATTCTTTGCATAACCAAGAGTTCCAAGTAATAACACCAAAATCTGAGAATCAACTATCCACTGGACACTAAGAAAAAGCTGGGTGTGACAATAGCTTTCAAAGAGGGTTCCAAGCAGCAGGGCGCCACCAGTGTGCTGAAGCAGGTTTGGCTGATGTTGATGTTGGTGAAGGGGCTGGGGAGGACCACACACTCCCCGTTCCTGTCACTCGACTTGAGATGCAAGAGATGACAGTAACATCTTGCACCTACAGGAGTACCTGTGAGCATTAAGGTTTATGAGAAGGGTGTCCGGCAGTTTGGGAGCATTCTGTGTTCTTACCATTTCTGCAGTTCTTCTCGTAGACTATGTTGCCATCGGCATCTTCCTTTTGGCATCTGGGGAACACCAGGTTCACCACAAACGTTATATTGGAGCCCACCAGTGCTGGGGAGTCGCTGGTCAGGACCGCCTTCACGCAGCCCCCTACGGCATAAGAGAGTGGAGCTCAATGGTCAAGCATCTCTTTTTCCTTTACTCATAAATAAACAGTTAAAGTAAAGTTAAATCTATTAATAGGAACCACATGCCTGGGAGCCACATGCCTCTTTAAGATATATTGAATTCATTTTCTGGATTCCTAACTTTGGTTTTCAGAGTACAACATTCTAGAAGATGAATTTAAAAAAATAAATCATACCTGTTAAAGAATTCTCTAACTATAGAAAGAACATTTACCTAAGATAATAAAAAAAACTCTGCTCAAATGGATTGAGGAGACAAGTTTTAAAAGTTTGTATTTTTTTAAATCTCAAAACCAATGGCTGAGGGACTCATTCTTTTATTTGAAAGGAAAGATTTTTTTCACTTTATGATAAAACACAACTTTGGGATGGTCAAAAGCTGCTCTGGGGGGATCACAGGCCCTCTGAAGATGACCAATTCCCACATTAATTAAATAGATTTAAGGGTAAACCTGCTTGAGGTTCCCAGAGCTTCAAAATATTCCCAGAGCTACCAACCTGGACATTTCTAAGGAAATTAATCATTATTTTATGGCTAGAAAGTGATAATGTTAGGACAGAGGAAAGGTTGCCAAATCCAGGTACCACCCACTTGTAACTAGAGGACTGTCATTCACGGAAACATGAGCCACGTAATCGAAAAGTCTCTGCAAATTACAGGTGTTTGGGATGAATCTTTTGACTTGCCTTTCCAGGAGTTTTTACACTTCTCATCTCCCCTCTTCCACACTGGGTAGAGTTTTTCATTCCATTCATTTTCATCAGAAGACCAGCCATCCAACTGGTTGTGCTCCCTCACATAACCAGGAAGTCCTTCATTGCCCAGCGCATCATGAAATCCTAGAGCAATGTTTGAAAAACAAATTACTTTGTCTATTACATCCTTCATTGAGTCCTCATCTAACAATGGTTAAAGAAACTTTTCATTTCATACTACTGGACAGCACATGCATAATACACTCAATATCTTAAGTAAAGAGAGGGTGCTTTTGAAAAAAGAAGTCTACTGGAAATACCTTGAATACAAGCATTCAGACCCTCTCCCTTTATGTACTTTAAATGAATCAAAGAAAAAATTTGAAAGCCAGTATTTTGTAGCCATCACCTGGGTTATCAATACATACCCTCTGAATATTTGGATTTGACACATTCTTATTAGGATGCCGAGAATGTTCAGGCCAGTACTTGCATCTTGTCCCATTCTGAACTACTCAGGTGGCTAAAGGAATGCCAGGCTCAGGAATACCTCCAGGATCCCAAAAGATACCCTAGTACTGGAGAGCCCACTGTTAAACAATTTTTTAAATGGCCCATAACATGGTCTGTTTGGGTGAATGTTCCATATACACTTGTGTAGTTTACAATTGTTGGGTAGAATGGGTTTTTTAAAAAATGTCATTTATGTCAAGCTAGTTGACAGTGTTTTTTTAAGTTTTCTATGTTCCTATTGACTTTCTGTCTACTTGTTATTTCAATTACTGAGAGAGAAATCTTGAAATCTTCAACTGTAATTGTGGATTTGCCAATTTGCCTATTTCTTCTTCCAGTCCTGTCAGTTTTTGCTTTACGTATTTTGAAGCTCTTTTGTTAGGTGTACACAGTACGTTTAGAATTGTTAAGTCTCCTTGATGAATTGACTCTTTTCTTATTAGGAATTGATCCTCCTTATCATTCACTGGTAATATTCCTTGCTCAGAATACTACTTTGATATTAATGCTTGCTGTTTTTTAAATCTAGTCTCACAATCCCTACTTTTTATTTGGAGTGTTTGGATAATTCACATTTAATGTAATTATTATTATTATTATTATTTTTGAGACAGAGTCTCACTCTATTGCCTGGGCTAGAGTGCTGTGACATCAGCCTAGCTCACAGCAACCTCAAACTCCTGGGCTCTAGCGACCCTCCTGCCTCAGCTTCCCGAGTAGCTGGAACTACAGGCACACACCACTGTGCCTGGCTAATTTTTTCTATTTTCAGTTGTTTGGCTGATTTCTTTCTGTTTTTAGTAGAGACGGGGTCTCGCTCTTGCTCAGGCTGGTCTCAAACTCCTAAGCTCAAGCAATCCTCCTGCCTCGGCCTCCCAAAGTGCTAGGATTACAAGTGTGGGCCACTGCGCCCAGCCTATTAATATTATTTTTAATAATTTAAGTGTGCCATCTTATTTGTTTTCTGTTTGTTCCATCTGTTCTTTTTCTTTTCCTGTACTTTTTGGGATTATATTTAGAATCCATTTTATCTCCACTACTGGCTTATTAGCTAGACCTCTTTGACTTGTTTTGAGTGGTTGCCCTAGGGCAGGCGTCCTCAAACCACAGCCTGCGGGCCACATGCAGGTGTTTTCGCCAGTTTGTTTTTTTACTTCAAAATAAGATATGTGCAGCGTGCATAGGAATTTGTTCATAATTTTTTTAAAACTATAGTCCAGCCCTCCAACAGTCTGAGGGACAGTGAGCTGGCCTCCTGTTTAAAAAGTTTGAGGACCCCTGCCCTAGGGTTTATAATAGTACAGTTCTTTTAGAACTTTGTTCTTCAGTTGCTATCTGTCCTTTTTTGCCTTGCCTAACTGACTCTGAGAACCGCAGCAGACTGGTTGGTTGCCTACCCAGCAGCCATTTCCTGCCTGCATTCCTCCTTTTTTTTTTTTTTTTTTAAATTTTTCCTCTTGCTGCCAGAGCCTTTACTTTAACAGTGTAGAATCCCAGAGGCTCACTTTCCTACTCTGGGCAGCAGCAGATGATTAAATCCCGGCCAATGAATGCTGAGAGGAAGTCCGCTGGGAGCTCCTGGGAAAGGTTTTCCTCCTTTATAAAAAGAGATACGTGAGAACAAACTCTATTTTTTTCCACCTCAAGATTGATTTTGGAGAAGGTTAGGTAAGGGTGTGATGTTTGGAGCTGCGACAGCCATATTTAACTAGGAGGACACGGATCTGAGGAAAGAGCCAACACATCGAGGGTGTCAGAGTGGAGAGATGAAACAGTCTTTGCTGACACTGTTGAGCTGATGCTCTCGTCCTGCCTACCTCTGGACTGACTGCGTGAGATAATTAGTGCCTTGTTCAATCTATTCTATTTCAGCCAAAAGCTCAATTGTCTATAACCCTCAGCTAACCCCTAGTCATACACTGTCTCAGATTGTACTCTCATCAATTTATATGGTCATGTGCCTTAGCCCGGCCACGATCCCATGTTTAGTTTTACAAGAAACTGTCAGAATAGCTGTACCATTTTACATTCCCACCAGCAATGTATGAGTGATCCACTCATCCAATGTATGAGTGATCCAAAATTCTAAGAGGCCAGAAACCGCCTTCCTCTTCTTTAAATCCTGAAAGAGGCCTATGACGAGGTGTGCTATTTAGTGGGTGCTTAGAGAAGCCAGTGTTGAGTGCACGTCACTAACTTCTTTCTTCTAATCCTCTTATCTGGTGGGAGGAGGGAGCAGCATGTTCCCTTCTTATTAGAGAGGCAGACAGAATGGAAAAGAACATCGAACCTGGTTTCTAGCCTCAGTTCTGCTACTAAACAGGCTGTGTGACCTCAGGCCACATGTCTTCTCTGGGCCTCAAATCAAACCAAAATCAAATGTCTTGTGATTCTATAAGACTGTTCCTGTTTGGAAACAGATATTAAGTGAGGGCAGGACATTTGTGTTTATCAAAAAATGTTTGTAACAGGAAATTCACTTGAGTTCGTCTTTTGGAAAGAACTAAGGTCACTTAGGTCAAACCCCTTCATAATACAGATGAAGAAATTCAGACCTAGAAAAATGATATGATTCACCTAGGGTCATCTTTAATTTAGTGGAAATGAAGATTCACATCTTTTAATTCCCACGACTAGTTCTTTCCACTGTTCCAAATAGACTTCCTCTTCCTCAGATCCTGAAAGAAAGTTAGCATTTCTGGAAATATAATCAAAACACAGATTTCTCCTCTGACTTTTTCCTTTGAGATGGGTTCTTGCTCTGTCACCCAGACTGGAGTAGAGTGGTGCAATCACAGCTCACTGTAGCCTCTATCTCCTGAGCTCAAGTGATTCTCCCCACTCAGCCTCCTGGGTAGCTGGGATTACAGAACAGTACCATCATGCCTGGCTAATTAAAAAAAATTTTTTTAGAGATGGGGTCTCGCTATGATGCCTAAGCTGGCCTCGAACTCTAAGCCTCAAATGACCTTCCTCCTCAGCCTCCTGGGTCATTGGGATTACAGGTGCCAACCACACTATCCAGCTCTCCTGTGATTTTAAATGTCAGAAGCCAAGGAAAAATACAAACTTAAAAGGAGAGTTACAGGGACAGACACATGGGTCAAAGGAACAGAGTACCCAGAGATAGACCCATACAAATATGCCCTACTGATTTTTGACAAAGATGTAAAAACAATCCAATGGAGGGAAGATACCCATTTCAATAAATGGTGTTGTAAAAAAGTAAAAATAGGTGAAATCTTCAGGATCTCGGGCTTGGCAAGAATTCTTAGGCTTGACACCAAGTGCATAATCCATAAAAGAAAAAAATGATAAATTAGAGCTCATTAAAATTAAATACTTTTGCTCTGTGAAACATGACATGAAGAGGACCAAAAGGCAAGCTATAGACTTTGAGAAATTATTTGCAAACCACATTTCCAGCAAAGGACTAGTATCTACAATACATAAAGAATTTTCAAGACTCAACATTAAAAAACAAGGAATTCTATTAGAAAATGGATAAAAGACTCAGAAGTTGTTTTATGACCAAAGTTGTAAAAATAAAAAGAAAATGGATAAAAGACATGAACAGATAATTCACCAAAGAGGATGTACAGATGGCAAATAAACACACTAGATGTTCATCATCTTTAGCCAGTAGGGAAATGCACATTAAAACCACAATGGAATGTTGCTATACACCTATCAGTGTGACTAAAATAAAAAGTAGTCACTACAGCAAATGCAGGTGAGGATGTAGAGAAACTGGATCACTCATACATTGCTGGTGGGAATGTAAAATGGTACAGCTATTCTGGCAGTTTCTTGTAAAACTAAACATGCAACTACCATACAACCAAGAAACTGTACTCATTGGCATGCATCCCAGACAAATGGAACATATGTTCACACAGAAATCTATGCATGAATGTTTATAGCAGCTTTATTCATAACAGCCCACACTAGAATAACCCAGATGTCCTTCAATAGTTGAATGGTTAAACAAATTGTGGTACATCCACACTGTGGAATACTTCTCAGTGATTAAAAAAAAAAAAAAAAGATTGATGCAACAACTTCAACAAACCTCCAGGGAATTATGTTGAGTAAAAAAAATCCAATTCCAAAAGATTACACTCTGTGTAATTCCATTTGCACAGAATTCTGAAAATGATAAAATTATAAAAATGGAGAAAGGATTAGTGATTGCCAGGGGCTGGGGGTGGGGGAAGAGAGTGGATCTGGCTATTAAAGGGATGAGAATAATCCCTGTGGCGATGGAACTCTGCTGTATTGTGACTGTGTAGTGTCAATATCTGGGTCTCGATATGGTGTTTTGCATGACGTTACCATTGGGGGAACTACCTAGAGAAGACAGGGGATCGCTCAGTATTATTTCTTACAACTGTATGTGAACGACAGCTACCTCAAAGTAAAAAGTTGAATGAATGAATGAATGTATGTATGTATGTATGACAGAGTCTCACTCTGTCACCCTGGCTAGAATGCAGTGGCCTCATCATAGCTCACTGCAACCTCAACTGGGCTCAACTGATCCTCCTGCCTCAGCCTCCCGAGTAGCTGGGCTGATGCTTTACTACTTTGTCAACCCCTTCCTCCTTCCTCCAGGGCTATGATTGGAAAAGGGCAGGGAATCCTTGGTGTTTGATACACTGCTAAATCCTACTTGCCCTTATTTTTCTGGCCAGAATATTTAGTCCAGGGCAAGGGGAACCCAAGAGCTCCCGCGTCTCGCTACACTGAGCTTAGATAAGCTGGGGGCTGCTCTGCACCTGACAGCCCAGATTCAACCTCCTGCGAATCTCTTTTACCGGACAAAGTGGGACTGGTGACAGAAGGCAGGAGTTAGGCACACGGTCTCCCCCTGACCTGTCAGTTCTCTGCCTCTCCATCTCCGGGGGCTGTGAACTCCCCAGGAGTCTGTACTGGGAGGGACCCTGAGGGTGGGGACAGGTCTGTCACCATAGGAACTGCCACCATGTATGTCTCCCATGCCAAGCACCTTACTTGTTAGCAGACCTCGCACAAGACCCCTATTACCCAGCTTTGCAAACAAGGAAGCGAAAGCCCAACGAAGCGAGGTCACACGTGGCCCGGCCCCACGGCTGGCAGGGGCCCCGGGTCTGCCCAGCTCCAAGCCCTGGCCGGCAGGACCGCGGCGGGATGCAAGGCGGCCCCTTCCGCGCGCGGGCTGCGTGGCCCGAGGGAGCTCCTCGGCCTCTCCGCGCCGCTTCCTCGTCTGGGCAAGGGGCAGCCCCGGCGCCAGTCCCCCGGCTGCTCCGAGGACGCGCGGGCACGGCGCGCCCGCCACGCACCCAACACCACGCCGGGCGTCAGTCCCGCGCCCGCCCGCCCGCAGCTGTCCCTGTTGGGACTCCCGGGTCCAAAACGCTGGCCCTGTTGCGGCCCGCGTCGGCGGGGCCTAGCCTCCGGCCTCAGCGGCTCGGAGCAGAGCCGGCTGAGCCTGTGGCCGCTTCCCTCCGTCCCCGCAAGCCCCCGCCCAGGGTCCCCGCGGCTCCCGGCTCTTGCTCCTGCGACCCCGCTCGGTGGTTATCGACCCTGGCTGCACGGGCAGATCCCAACAGGAGCTTTTCCAACAAGGACGCTCGGACCCCACTGCCAAAGATTCTGATTTCCTCGAGTGGGCGTCCGCGTTGTTAAAAGTGCCCCAGTCTCCATGCGTAACAGGGTAGGCCCCGGGGTGCACCCCTTCTTCCTGTGCCCTGGCGACAGACAGCCACAGCGGCAGCCAGCTCTTGCAGGTCTCCGCAGGAAGCTTATCCAGGCTTAGCACCTGCGTCTGCGTCGGGGTTACTACAGAGCTTGTCCCCAGATCTGGGACCCCAGCGCATGGGAGGGCTCCACTCTGTCGGACCGAAGCCAGACAAAGTTCGGTTGGTGGAGTTGCTTAGTGCTCCAGCCAGACACAGTGCAAGCCTCCCCAAACCATCGTCTGGCAAGAGCCTCCCCCAACCATGGTGGCAATTGCTGTGGAAAAAAAGGTCCACAAGACCGGAGGGCCTGCATGGTTTTCACTTCCCAAGAGCCCGAAGCAAAAACAAAACAAAACAAAACAAAAAAACAAAAACGGAGCTGGGTGCGTTCTGCGTGGTTTCCCAACATTTTGCAGAAGAAACGCGGGAGGCCGCGAATGCTTCTGAGGAGCCTGTCTGTCCAACTTCTGTCTCAGGGGACTTTATTACCCATCACTGCAGCCACTAGGCAGAGAAGGAGTTAAACACAGAAATTTAGGATTACTCACGTTTGGCGGAGTCAAGTGGCAATCTTGCAGCCAGAAGCAGAAATCCCAGGAAATAGCAGAGACGTTCCATGCTGAATTCTCAGAGACTGAGGCAATCAAGGTTTAACTTTTAGCTCCTGTGGCCCCATCCGCGAAGAGCAACGGTGTGTGCTTCTGCAGTCTGCTGCGCCCCACGCTTCATTTTAATTAAATACAGGGCCTGGGGCGGGTCATGTGATGGTATTAAGCAGCATTGCCTGATCTGGTCTCTCAAGTTCAACCTCTTACAACTCATGTGCTTGTGACTCACTCCCCCCTGGCATCTATTTATTCACTTTTCAGATCCGCGCTATTTCAATTTTGTGGTTCTGCATTTATGAGATTTAAGGAGACTTCCTTTCCTATGGGCCCTATTTTGATATATTCTTCACCAAATAGAATTTCAATCCTCCAGCTTCACTGATGATCTACTTACTGTGATTCCTGAACTGCTTCACTCACCCAGCTCGTGTTTGGTAAAAGGCAAAAGAGTTATTCATTTTGAAGAGAAACCAAAGTATGTTTTTTTTTGAGACAGAGTCTAGCCTGAGCTAGAGTGCCATGGCATACGCTTAGTTCACAGCAACCTCAAACTCCTGGGCTCAAGCGATCCTCCTGCCTCAGCCTCCTGGGTAGCTGGGACTACAGGCATACACCATCGTGCCCTGGCTAATTTTTTCTATTTTTAAAAATTGCTTGGCTAATTTCTTTCTATTTATAGTAGGTGACAATAGTCAAATGGTGGGCAGCTTGATGGAGTTGAATAAGAAACTAGAAGTTCATTTTTTTTTTTTTTTGAGACAGAGTCTCACTCTGTTGCCTGGGCTAGAGTGCTGTCGCATCAGCCTAGCTCACAGCAACCTCAAACTCCTGAGCTCAAGTGATCCTCCTGTCTCAGCCTCCTGAGTAGCTGGGACTACAGGCATGTGCCACCATGCCTGGCCAATTTTTTCTCTATATATTTTTAGTTGGCCAATTAATTTCTTTCTATTTATAGTAGAGACGAGGGTCTGGCTCTTGCTCAGGCTGGTTTCGAACTCCTGACCTCGAGCGTTTCTCCCGCCTCAGCCTCCCAGAGTGCTAGGATTACAGGTGAGAGCCACTGTGCCCTGCTGAAACTGGAAGTTCTTGATTCCAGAAAACCTGCAGGTTGGATAATCTGTCTCTTAACAATCAATAGTTGACAATATATAATTTTCTTTGTGTATGACTTGGAGACAGGGATATTTTGGATAAAGAATATTCCCAAGCTTGTCTTTTTTTTTTTTTTTGAAAAATAAAATCATACTGTTAAAAGAGTTTAAAATAATTCATTGAAAGAAGGAAAATATCTCAATTATTTGCTATTACAGACAACAATTATTCTGTTTGGAAATGGTGTTGAGGAAAGCAAATAATAGTCAATTTTTGAGAATTGTTCCAAATTGCCTCCCAGCGTCTTGGTTTCTGACACCCTTTCTGGTGGCCACGGTCCCAATTTGAGTAGCAGTGTATGGGATGTGCTGACTGAAACAAGCCACCCAAAGGGTGACATGCGGAGTGACAGGCAGCAGTCACACCCAGGAATCACAGCAGGCTGCAGAGAAATTAACATCTTTGATTTAAGGAGTTGCTCAGTTCAAACTGGTGTTTTTAGGGGAGATTACAACAATTAAAGATCCTTTTCTCCCCATCTCTTATAAATGGCTGTTGTCCTGCTGCAACAAATTGCCAGAAAACTTGGAGGCTTAACACAACACAGGTTTCTCATCTTCTAGTTCTGGAAGCTGGAAGTCTGAGATGGGCCTCACTGGGCTAAAATCAGTGTCAGAAGGGCAGCTCTAGTGAAGACTCTGATCCCCTGGCTTTCCAGATTCTAGAGGCTGCCCACATTTCCTGCCTGTGCGGCCCTTCCATCTCCAAAGCCAGCAAGTCTGAAGTTGCGTCTTTCTCACATTACTGCGTTTCCCCGAAAATAAGACAGGGTCTTATATTTATTTTTCCTCAAGAAGACACCCTAGGGCTTATTTTCAGGGGATGTGTTATTTTTTTTTTAAGTAAGGTACAACAATCTGCATTTATTCAAACATAGTTAAGTCGTCTTCTTCTGGAACATCATCATAACTCTCCTAACCCCGAATTTCATCCTGAATTTCTTGCGACTCTATTTCCTGTAGAACCATTGGCCCCTGTCTCTCATGTAGAGCAATAGAGCTCTCATGGGGCAGATGAGAAGGGCTGCTCGTCTTCTTTACCGCTCCCGAGGAAATGCATGGGTTGTGCAGATCCGATGCGTAGCCACGCCCATCACTGGGTCTTATTTTCGGGGAAACATGGTACTTCCCTCTGATTCTCGTGTCTCCCTTTTCCACTTGCAAGCACGTTTGTGATTGCACTGGGCCCACCTGGATAACCCAGACTCAGCCCCCTGTCTTTAGGTCTGTTGATTAGCAACTTAATTCCATCTGCAACCTTCATCTCTCCTCGCCCCCCCCTGACTTGCAATATAATATGTACTCACAGGTGCTGGGGGTTAGGCTGTGGACATTTGGGGTGGGGGCATTATCTTGCCCACGACAGTTATGCAGCAGGTGACTTCGTAAAAACTCTGCTCGTGGAGAAAAGTGTGTGATGGGAGCGGGCATGGAAAGTACCTCCTAAAGCTTACAGACTTGTTGAAACAAAGCCTTTGGTATTTGGCACAGCAGAAAGGCAAGAACAAACTAGATAAAGGCATCAGTTCAAAGAGAGAGACAGTTCATGTGACTGCTATGTCCCGATGTTGGCTTTTTAACGAGTCATAATCAGAATCATGGTTTTCAGATTTAAGCATTAGTAAATGACTCAGAGACTTGTGTTTTAAGTCTAATTCTTCAGTCTCTTCTCTCCGGGTGCTCTCTGCATGAATGAGTAATTAAAGTTTCTTGTTTCCAGGTTTACTAAGCTTTGAAATTACTCTCGCACCAAAATGTTTCCCCCTAGCTTTCTAGGGAAAGAGAAGAAAATGAATCACAAAGGGCAGTGCATCCTTTTCAGTCACTTTTGCTATGACAAAGTGGCAATAGCTGCTGGATTTTTAGCCTTTGATTTTCGAGACAGAGTCTCTCTCTGTCACCCAGGCTAGAGTGCCGTGGCATCAGCCTAGCTCACAGCAACCTCAAACTCCTGGGTTCAAGCGATCCTCCTGCATCAGCCTCCCAAGAAGCTGGGACTACAGGCATGTGCCACCATGCCTAGCCAACTTTTTAAATATATATATTTTAGTTGGCCAATTAATTTATTTCTATTTATAGTAGAGATGGGGGGGTCTTGCTCTTGCTCAGGCTGGTTTCGAACTCCTGACCTTGAGTGATCGTTCCGCCTCGGCCTCCCAGAGCGCTAGGATTATAGGCATGAGCCACCACGCCCCCTCCTCCCCCGTTTTTTTTCTGAGACAGGGTCTCACTCTGTCACCCCAGCTAGAGTGCAGTGGTATCACCATAGCTCACAACAACCTCAAACTTCCAGGCTCAAGCAAACCTCCTACCTCTGCCTCCCTAGTAGCTGGGACTATAGACAGGTACCCTCATGCCCAGCTAAGCCTAATTTTCCTTCTGAAAAAAATTGGAGACTAGATGTAGGTAAAGGTGTTTTCTTCTTGGGATCCAGGCTGAAAATATTTTTTTTCCCACCCACCCCGCCAGCCCACCTGTCATGCAAATATTTTTTTGACATGACTCTTCTCATGGAGTTACTGGCCCCATTTGAAATTAGAAAGAGCAGGAGGTATAGAAAAATGTAGATTATCACACTATTTAAGTCCCAGTTTTGCTTTTAGAGTACTTTCTCTGAATTATTAGCATAGAAGGAGAGTAAGCAATGAACACTTACTGTGCAAAAGTGGAAGTAATGGTGAATGTGCTCTTCTCTTTCCTACTCTTTTTTTTTTTTAGATAGTCTTACTTCGTTGCCCTGAGTAGAGTACTATGGTGTCATCACGGCTCACAGCAACCTATAACTCCTGGGCTCAAGTGATCCTCCTGCCTCAGCCTCCCGAGTAGCTGTGACTACAGGTGCACACCATGACACCTGGCTAATTTTTCTATTTTTAGTAGAGATGAGGTCTCACTCTTGCTCAGGCTGGTCTTGAACTCTTGAGCTCAAGCAATTCTCCCGCCTCAGCCTCCCAGGGTGCTAGGATTACAGGCATGAGCCACTGCACCTGGCCTCTTTCCTACCTTTATACCCATAGAACAGTGGGACCCAGCAGCAGAAACAGAATGGGATCTATGGAGCAAGAAAGAAAGGAGAGGCCAACACAGAAACATGCCAATGCCAACTTGGCTTCCGGTTATTTGTTTATTTATTATTTATTTAGAGACAGGGCCTTGGCTATGTTGCCCAGGCTGGCCTTGAACACCTGGGCTCAAGCAGTCCTCCTGCCTTAGCTCCCAAGGTAGCTGAGATTACAGGTGTGCACCACTGCATCTGGCTGGCTTTCAGTTTTATAACTGAATTATCCATAAATGTCTTAGAACACTGGAGTGTGGGCATTGCACTTATTGATTGGAGATCTATTATAAGCCCAAGAGAGAAGCAGCTAGAGCAGAAATCCAAAAGGAGATTGACTGTAGAAGAAAGATCAGGACACTGAAGATAGAATATCACCTTGATCCAGCTTTTCCCAATGGAATCTTTGTAAGCACCCCAGACTTAATTTAATTCAGTAAAGCATTGATAGAGGTCTACTGTTCTGTAATCGCCATCATTCACCAAGGCATGAATGACAATCGTAGGAGCGAAGATCTAATTGAGAGGATAAGACATTAGCCCACAAAACAGGTAAGAGTATGAGAGTTATTTGAATTTTTTTTTATTATGGGAACATCCAAACATACACAAAAATAGAGAGAATAACATAATGAACTTCCATGTACCTATTACCTTCTTCAGTGATCAATATATGGCTACTCCTGTTTCATCCACTCTCCTCCCTGCACAATTATTATCTGCTGGATTATTTAAAAACTCATCCTAAACACCATTGGTATGTGGCATTTAAACTAAGGCAAGTAGATCAGCAGTCCCCAACCTTTTTGGCACCAGGAACCGGTTTCATGGAAGATAGTTGTTCCACGCATGGGGGTGGAGGTTGGGGAGTGGGTGATTTCGGACAAATTCTCATAAGGAGCTTGCAATCTAGATCCCTGGCATGCACAGTTTACAGTAGGGTTCATGCTCCTATGAGAATCTAATGCCACCGCTGATCTGACAGGAGGCGGGGGTCAGGCAGTGATGTGAGGAATGGGGAGCAGCTGTAAATACAGATGAAGCTTCACTGGCTCACCTGCCACCCACCGCTCATTCCTGCTGTGTGGCCTGCTT